TGCCAGCAGCACAAATTTGATTGATGAGTTTGACTGATTGCCGTCATGGCTGGGCCTTAGCTGCTGTCAGCTTTTGCGGTCAACCGATGATTAACTCAATCTGCTCTTGCTCATGGCTAATGTCGAGTGAATTGCCAACTGCAAGTCCCTGTCATGAGTCTGCCAGCGATAAGTTGTCAACTGGCAGTATGTTCATGAATAATGCACACATGTAAGACACACCCACAAAGAGAGAGAGAGAGACATACAACGTGAAGCATGCTCCGAGCAGTATTCGGCTGGCGGGTCACGATTGTGTTATTAATTATGCCAGAGATTGTGGTCAGTCATAGAACTTATTGTGTCATTTGAAGTAATTATCCAGGCTTAAGCAGTAGCCAGTATGTGGCCTGCGCGCCTGTGTGCGTCATAGCCAATCAGAAGCGAAAACGTGACATAACAAATTGATAAGCTCCTCCGGCGACAGCCACAGCCACAACTGATGATGGCCATTACATGATCCAGACGCAGCACATATGCTGTCAACATGTGCAGCTAATATGCTCGTATGGAGAAGTTTACGCAATTATTCCAGCAAACCAAATTACAAGCACATGTGGCAACTCGCCCCGACCTTGCCCCGCTCGCTCCACTGCGCTTCTGCGAAACTTGCATTCTACATTTTGTTAAAGCAGCAAATTGCATTTCGTCCATACGAGCAGCTCGGCTACATATATGCGCACGCATATGCCACATCAAGTTTGTGTAAATTGGCCTTCTTTGTGTTAACCATTGCATTCGCGGCTTTCCATTATTCCAGCACAATGCTTCGCTTTGATTTGACTACTTTGCGCATTGCCAAATTAAGCACTGGTAAACGTAGCCGAAGCACCGCTGCAACTGTACGCAGCTAGCAACTCAGTCCTACGCGATCCGGGCGAGCACTCGTCGTCACAAAACTTTTCTAATTGGCACTGGCAGCAAAAATCGAGTACTCCACGTCAAAGAGCTCGAAAACTAAGCCCAGCAGAGCTGACAGAGCTGAGCAGGACGTGTAGTCTGCGTAGCTCTAGAGCTGAGGAGCTAAGCTAAAAGAGATGAATGTGCTTAGGCCCCATGCAGCAAGAGCGCCTTTGACTCCGCCCACTCCAAATGAGAGCTCACTTTGATGGACGACAATATTTGTTTTTCTTTCATTGTGTCCGTCTTCGCCAAGAAAAAACACAATGCCTAAACAAAGTTATTCATTCAACAACAACGAGCAAGAAACTAAAAATGTAAAAAAAATAAAAATAAAAAGCAAAACAAAACAAAAAGAAAAATAAAATTAGAATTTTTTTTCAAATTGTCATAACTGAAGGCGGCTAGGATTTTTTTTTTCTTTATTTTTTTATTATATTAAATACTTTGTTAAACCCAATTTAAGTTCATGGCTAAATATTATATTTAGGACAAGTCACTTCATTCATTCATGACATAATCAATTATTCATAATTTTCCATTTTACTCCAAAACATACTAAAATATTCAGATTATCTTCCGCTTCAACACCTAAATTATGCATTTAGTCGTCTCTGCCGGCAACCGCAAGCAAACCAGAGAAGCCTCAAAAGCAGAATTTCAGCTTGAATGAAATTTAATGAAAACATTTTAATAATTATTCGCTTTTTAAACTCAAGCAATTCAAGTGGAGTGAATTTTACTTACGCAAGAATTTTGCAATAAAAAATAGTTCATAATTTTACCCTCGTCAAATGGGTCCATAAGCTGTTCGACCTTGGTAGAAGAGACATAATTGATCTCTTAGAGTTTAGACTCAGGCCCGACGTCGACAAATGAGATGCAAAATGTGTACTTGGCTGTCATTTGCATATCTCAAAAGGTTGACAAGAAACATATCTTTTGTGAGACGTCTTAGTATACATCAGACAAATGGAGACGGAAAAGTGGCAGACCTAACTGCTGCTAACTGCTGACTCGTTACTAAGTTACAAAAGAAGTTTTGCTGCGAGCGCCGGGCAGGCAAAGAAAAAAAATTAGATAAATTATTTGAACAGCATTCAATTTGTGGCAAAGGCCGCCGTCGCACATGAAATGCAAACACGAAACGTAAACAGAAAAATTTTCGGCTTTGCCTGTGTGAAAAGGCCAAATGCAAACGTTCTGGCCGGCTGGCAGTAAAAGAACGTCCAGAACTTTGGCTTTCAGCTCATATTTTATTCAGCTGGAACGAAGGACCACACAAGTGACTCCTTCGCCTGTGGCCCAGCTTTGGCTTTGGCTACATCCGCGAAATACCCGACTAACGAACTTCTGCAGCTGAGCTGAGCTCTTGCCATTTTGTGTCTTTTATTCTTTTTCGCTGTCAAGAATTTTTTACTCTGCTACGTTGAAAGTGAAAAAGTGATGGAAATAAAGTGCAAGTTTACAGGCCGTCATCTCTGAGAGGCTGTCTGTTTTATTTTTAATTTGCATATCCTTGGGAGTAGGCACACTAACCCAGCCATCAGCTTAAGCACATAAGCTGCGCTCTTAATTAACGTAAAAGCCCTTACAAATGTTTTAATTGTTATACTTTAAGTCGTATTAACTAGACATGTTTTTCAGCTATCTGCATATTTAAATGGCTACATGAAAACTAAGAAATAGAAATATGATATAACAAAATCGAAATCTATAAAACATTTAAATATGTTTTGACTTTTTGCAAGTCAGAATCAAAATGTTTTTGAGTTACATAAATTAAACATTCATGAGACGAATGCGTCTGTGTCGACGCTGAAAAGTATGCTTTAAAATAACTATATTCGCGTCAAATATGAAATATGTATTACAGTTTATTAGACTTTGCACTCTACAGCCTATCTATGTCACGGTGCTATCTTAATCGCCCAGGGAAGGTCACAATCGATTTAATGGTGCGGTCATGCGAAAATTGAAAAAAAAAAAAAAAAATCTTAACAATACTTCCGTGTATGCCAATCCCTGTTTACTTTCCGTCTCCTGCTCCTTCTTTTTTTTTTGCATTATCTAGAAGTTTGACAAAGGAAAGGAAATTATCATAAGTTTCGTAGCTCAAGGGGCGGTAGTCGCTTTAAAAGTACTTATGCAAACACAAAAAACACACACACACACAGTAACACACGCACGTGTGTGGGAAAGTATTTTATGAATTATCGATTTTCATTTATGAGCACATTTAAGGGCCCTATGTGAGATTGGGAGACAATAGCAACAAGAACTACAACTATGCGTTGACTTTTGCTGTTGACGTAATGAAATTCCTTAAAGGTATTTTGCCAGATTCTCTCTCTCCCTCCCCCTCTCAGTGGATGTGGCTGGATGTTCGGACAAGATATGCTTGACATTCGACAGTATGTTCGACGTCCAGCAGGGCACGCACAGTTGGACACACCATGAGAAGAGCTAAATGCTGATACAGAAATTAATGTAATTAACACAGAGTGTTGTAGGCACAAGTCGAGCTCGGCAGCACTCGACAGACACCCACTGCCACTTAAGGCTAAGTAGCTGATGACGTCGCCTAACGCCTATCAGCAGACATGCAACACATTTCACATTTCGTATTTCGCATTTCGCATTTTGAGGGATTTTCGCCCAATAGGAGCTGCAGCACATTGCGTTCTGCTGTGGGCAAAAATGCTGAGGTTGACATCACGCAACGGGCACAATCAGAGCACATGCAACCGAAAGTAATTACTGCGACATGTGGCACGCAGGTGGACCAAATGAAGTCAAACTGCTTCTAAACCTGACTAATGGAGTGTGGAACACAATGCGTGACGGTGCAAGTATCTTGATTGTCACAAATTAATTAATAATGCCTGTAACATTTACTTTAATTAGAGTGCGACAAGGAGTGTGGAATGGGTGTGGGTGTGCACACACTTCGAGTAGTTCGTGATGGACATGAAAGACCTATGTCAGCATTATAAATGACTTGAAGAGAGCTGCTAGCTACTCAAAGTATAACTTAATTGGTAAGCAAACAAATTGGACTCTAGTTACGCAGCAGCTATTTATGAGCAAATTTTAATTAACCAAAGTGTAAATACTAAGCTTTTGACTTGAATATTGTAACGTTTCAGATGTAATTGCTCTACAAGTTTAGAAAATTCTCGAATATATTTTTGTAGCAGTTAAGCCTCAACTTGATATTTATATTTAATTTTACAGGCATAAAATAGTTGCTGAATCGAATGCGGACTGTATGTAATAAACTCTTTTCATAGATTTGCGAAAGTACGCAAATAAATCCTCTTGGAAAAAAGTATTTATTTAATGCATTTTACCTCGTTTGCTGTTGGCTCGATAAAAAATAAGCCAGTAGTTAAAGTAAAGCCATCTTAAATTTGTATATTTGCAGGGCTCTCACAGCACTCGCCTGTACTTGCCAGCTGATTACCACCCAATGCCACTTTGCTGCTCCGGTGCGCCTGTTGTTGCCGTGTTTGTTGTTGTTGGCGAACAATAAATATTGATTACGATGGTGTTTGAAATTGTTGTGGGTTTATTTGGTTGAGATGGCTGGCTTAATGTTCCGTTGAAATTCTAATTTATAAACCAATTAGCAGCCAAAGCTCATAGAGCAGCCATAAATTTTCGCTGGCAACAAATTTAATCAAACAGCTCGCTGCTCGGCTGCCGTTGTCTTCTTCGCATAGTTCCTGGCTCTGGCACTTACATCCTTAGACTCCGGGGAGGCGTGGGCTTACTTCCAACTAAATATCATTCACGCTCCGTTAGTTCGAATCCTTGCAAAAATTAACTAATCGCACAAAACGTTCTCCACTCGGCAAAGCATTTGAATTGCCCGCTTAACACTGATTCGCATACTTAGTATGATTATCTGGGCCAATGTAATAATCTGAGCTCAATATTTTGGGAAACTTGCTCTGCGACGAAAGCTAATACCCCAATAGAATTGTCACGAAATGAGAGCAGCTAATTATCGTTAGTAAGCCCTTCACCAATGCCAAACAGGAATGAAACTTCAATGCTGATTTTCAGTTAGTATTTTATTTATGAACTATTAATTTATTTAAAATGAAACATACAAAAGGTACAATACATAATTGGAAAAAAATCAAGTTATAGCCAAATTATATTCACAGTTTTAATAGTAGTAGAAACTTTATTCTATGCTCTGGTTTCCACTAACAATTTCCATATTACTTATATAGCATTGTGTATTTGGGATGCCGTACCTAGGCGTACGATGCCAATCACACACATTGGGTCATTAATTATTATTAGGCCTGTATGTATGCATGTGTTTATATAATGATTTATTACTACGAAGATTTTTGTTTTTGTTTTGTTCTTTTACATTTATTATATATTACCAAGTGTCCCGAAATTTTACGCACTCGCGTTGACTTTCTATTCATGCTAATCATAATGCATTTAGCCGAGCCCGTTTTATAAATTTTGCCGTAACACGAATATTTTATGTACATTTAATTAATAACCTCTCTATTGTGAACATGTGTTAATTGTTATTTGGTAATTGAGTTACTCCAATACTATCTTATTCTATTCCGAACCACAGGCCCACACACCACAGAGGCCAAAAAGAACAATACCAACCAAAAACCCAATGCTAACAGTATTCCAGTTAGCAAAGTGAATTTTGTTGTTTTGCTTTTGTTTTCGCTTAAAGGTTTGATCCGTTTGGATGCAACTGTACTTTGGTTGTGGCCAGTCGTTCGTTCTATTTGTTTTTGTTTGCTTAATTTTGTTCAATTTTCCGGAATGCTGTCCTTATATATCTTATATACACTTTGGCTAATTGGGGGACGAGTGACTATTTTAGAACGTGAACCGTTTCGTATTTGGACTATAGATGTATACACATATATGTAAATATACTTATATGTATATATATTAGTAGTAGTAGTGGTATTTAGTACTGCTTATATACACGTTGATTGGATGCTCTCCAATTTATATAGACGTACTCACTTAGCTACTAATTAGGAAGGCACTTGACATTTAAAACAATAACGTCAACTTTAACAAAGAGATGAGAAACGACTAGAAACGACAAAAACTCAAAACAATTTTACATAAACATATCCATATGGCACACGTAGTAAGTGTTACACACATATATATATATAGATCTGCAAATGGAAAATACAGAAGTCAACGACTATGTATTTCTTAAAATATTGTCTGCAGTAGCATTTCCATTTCCCTTCACTTTCAGACACACTCGCACACAACTAAATATATATATACATTTTGCTAGTTAGGCACTGCTGTCAGACCATCCTCCTCCAAGGTAAGGACCTTGGCACGCAGGAGTAATTCATTAGCCCGCTGGCCAGAAGTTTCCCATGCCCCATAGGTGTAGCTATTCCTAGCCGGATATTAATTACGCTCATCCATTTGTAGCGCATTAATCCGAAATATACAGCACTGAATTATGCAGACAACAAAACCGAAATCGCTCATACGCCAAGTTGTACGGCGTGACTGAGTTATGATGCCGCCTCCTGCTACAAACCTATTCGCTGTGATAAGCCGCCCAATAAAGCGTTTATGAGGCTCATCGTTCTAAACAAAGCACATACACCCATGCACACACACTCATACGCAAGCACAAACACACACACAGTACAAAATATATATATCTCTCCTTTCTCTCTCGCCCTGTTTTTGGCTTGTTCAACACACATCCCGTTGTCGCATTCTCATAGGTGCGGACAATTATGAAGATTCCTTTTGGTACGGAAATGGGAATATCGTGAAATTTATGAGGGTGTGTGTGAGTACACACACGCATGCACACACATGCACGCAGATACACATAAATAGAAGTATGAACATATTTGGAGCTCGCTTCCTCTCCCAGCGCTGCGCACAAACAACCCATTAGTTGAGCCTTTGCAGGAGGACTTTGGGAGCTTTGCTGTTCCTTTCGCATCCTTGATGTATGTGTGCTGTAATATTTGCTGTGCTTGGGCTTGTTGGCGCTGTGTATTCATGGCATTTGTGTGCTTTTATTTATGCGTGCGTTTACATTATTGATAACATTAAATGAGCTTCAGGCAATTTGTTTTCATTTGTATGGTTGAACCGCATAATTTAATGATGTTGGCAATGGCGATGGCAATGCGAATGCCGCTGCCGATGCCAATGCCAATGCCAATACCAATACCATTACCAATGCGTATGTTTCTTGACTGCTCATATGAGCTTCAACTAACTAACATGTAATTAATTTTGGTGGCCATGGCAACGATTGGGTAATTAAAGTGTTGTGAAAAAAGCAATTAAGGAAGTGAAATCAAGTTGTACACAAAGTATTTACACGTGAATATCGAATCACGTACGTAGTTATATCATATATCATTCACTCAAGCACTCAACCACTCACACACTCACACACTGGAGAGCTCTGTGCAGACAAATACTTAACCTACAAATTGCGGTAGCCTAAATTTTCTATTTGATGGCGCCTACTGTGTACTGACCTAGGACTGTGCAAGTATGCGTAATCGTCCGCTCCACTCATTAGTAATTTACAGTTACAGTTACAGGAAGCTCGTCCATTTAAGTACATTTATGTATACATATATATTTTAAAAACAGATGCCAACTTTTGTTGTGGCGACTCCAAAAGCCATCTACTCCGTACACACCTGTTGTTGTTGTTGTTGTTGTTGTTTCCGACTCTGGGAGGAGGGCTCTGGGCTTAGGTCGTTCCCCTGTAGATTTGTATTGTCGTTTATGCTAGCAGCGGCCAAGGGTACTGTTGCCCCATTGTCGGCTTGTGGCTAGGGTCCGGATGCCGGCACATGAGCTGTGTCTGGATCGGGGGCCGCCAGGGACTCTGCTTGAGCACCTGGCCCACTCTGCCTAGTAGAGCTCTGGACGTTCAGGGAGGTCACGTTGATGGCCGTGGTATATACGTGAGGCTCGCAGTCCGCAGTGGTTGGTCATCCGTAATAGAATTGTGAGCTCACCGGTAAGCCAGTTGAAAGTGTACGTGGAGCTGTGCCGTCATATGATAGCTGCGGATGTAACATAGCCGCTGCGGCGGGCTTTGTGCGACGCAACGTTGACGTGCCAGCGGCTGGCAGATGACTTAATGTTGCCATCGCCAGAGGCGAGGTGGTCGGCGTCTGTTGTGTCTGTGGATGAGCCGGGGAGCCGCTAGCCAAGGAGGACGGTGGCGTCGGCGTGTTGGCCGGTCGCTGAACAACACCCATGCCCTCCGTATTTATGAGGTACCCTCCGCGAATGGTGGGCGCCGTTGTATACTGGGCCAGTGACGTTAGGGGCACCATAGTGTCTGCAAGCACACGAATCGAAAAGTTTACGAAGCGTGCCCCAACAAGCGAGCCCAACTAGCAGCGAGCTGAGACTAATGAAGATACTTACTAATGCCACTGCTGCCAGGCAAAGCGCCGCCAGGGCCATTCGCGCCAATTACAATGGCCGGTGCCAGGATGCCTGTCATGGGGCCCTGTGCTGAAGATGCGCTGCCCGCACTGCTGGTAGCCACATATGTGCTGGGCGCAATGCCTATGAGATCGGGTGACTGGCGCGCGCCTATTAACAGGGGATTGGGTATCAAAGCGGGGGCCGCGCAGGGTCCGCCAACGGAGGACAGCTGGCTGGGCGCTAGACTGGCATACAAGCTGCTGGCCGGCGCGTAAGTGATGTAGTTCTGCAGTGTTCAATGACAGATGATAGATGATAGATGGCATTGGCCAAGGGTTAGCGATGAGTAATGTTACCCACCTCGTTCTTTGACACGCTGGGCAATGGTATCGAAGTGGTAAGGTCAATGTCGGCGTCTATCTCGGAAATAGTGTCGTTAAAGCCGCTTGGAATGGTCGTTTCATCGCCCAGGCCTCCGCTCGTGCCCCCCTTGGTGGAGGAGTTCGAATGGGTGTCACTGGCCATGCGTCGCCTTTGCAGCAACAGGCGCGCTACCACAATCACAATGGAGCAGAGCACACCGACCAGCCCGACAATTAACAGATACAAATAGAGTCGCTGCTGGTCATCTGTGAAATGAGGAAATCTTTTAAGTTAACAAAGGCAGAAATTTAAATTCGACGAGCTCGACTTGAGCCAAGGATTTTCATAATAATAGCAACATAAGCCCGCTCCATTTCATTTTTAAATTTCTGTTGAATTTCATGTCGTCTTTGTTTGTGAATAAGATCTGGCAAGGCATTCGTAAAATATTTGCATGGCCCTTACAGACAGTGATTCCTTGTGGGATTACGCCTACATTGCGGACTGTTTTTCCAAAAGCCCCACCCAGACTCCGCCCCACATACAGACGGGGTCTGTGGACCGACTTGTGACTTGTATTTTCTATTACTGCCCAGTGTAACGCAATGGGACATTCGGGTCAAGTCGGAAGAGACTTACCCTCTAGACTTAAGTCGGCACTGTGTGTCATCACCGGATTGACGCCACTTCCATCCGCATCAGCGTCCAGCGAGCCGTTGGTTGCGGTGTGAATGCCCTCTGGATTGGAGTTGGCAGCGCGTCCGGCGCCGCCAGTTGCGTTGCCTCGTGATGTTTTGGTGGTATTGCTGTATAGTTTGGGTATGGCCTCCGACTCCTTGTAGATGAGCTCATCGTCGTACAGGTCGTTGATGTCGCCCTCGAAGTCCTCCGTTTCGTCAGCCTCCACCTCAGACTCGTTGCTCTCCTTTAACACTTGCTTCGGCACTAGGGAACAAAGACATAGAACAACCAAACGAGCAACATAAATCATGCGGCCAAGTCACCGGTAACGGAGGGTCGGACGCCAAGCACCGGGCATCAATCTTGTGCCACGACGCGCAGTAAGATGGGATGCGATGTGATGGGAGGCGATTCTACGTTACGCTACGCGATGCGCTGCGATGCGCTAACAAAGGCGTGCCCTAAATCATTCTGAGTGGCAGAGGCAAACGCCCCTTGATTTTTCCCACGACCTACTTACCGCATGTGTAAACAACCTTCAGATACATTCGCGAGTTTGGCTGGCACGGAGTCCCAAAGGTATTCGCATCCGCGGCCAGATTGCACCGCCTTCGGCCATGGCAAATTTGCATCACAGTCTCCGTGGCGAATGAGGCGAGGCATGCTATTAAAGGCCAGAGATAGAAAAAGTAGTTAGAGCGCGGGCAAGCCACGGATCAGGCTGTCTTGATTGATGCAATCCACAGCTCAAGCACTGCCAAGCCACCATCTCCCCAATACTCACTCTCCTCACGGACCCCTTGCGGCTGTGGACACTGAATGCTCTCATACTCAGTGCGTCCGAAGCTGGCGCTATAGACGGCGATGCGCGAGTACGGGTTGCATTCCAATTGTGCGACATCGTTGTGGCAGGCTACCTTGCTGCGGAATTCATCTGCAAAACGAAACGAAGACAACAGACTCCTCTATATTTATGAAGTATAGTGTGTAATTTTATTTAATCAGAAAAATTAATTCCTTTCTAAGGAACTGCGGTTCCCCGGGAATTCTATATCCAATGATTGAGATAATCAATGACTCGGATCTTTGTAATTGGAAGTCGCGAGCTCCGACAGTTCAGTCAGACAGTTCATGCTGGGCGCCTCATTACGGCACCGCCAACAATGCTGAATTCCAAATGTATATATGTATGTGCATATTCGATAATGAGACACAGCATTTGCTGAAACATGAAGCGCCCCAGTCCCAGTCCCCATTTGAGCTGGGGGAAACTTAATTTTGTACCGTCGATGTTTTTCAAGTTATACAAAGCACGTGCAAATGCGATTGGACTGGTACTGCCACAAGGCAATGCCGTCGATGGCAGAGTTCCTACCGGTTCGATACGCTTCCTTGCCCCGCGGTTGCTGGACACGCCCTGGGAGTGCAAAGCCCGCCAACTGCTGTTTAGTGCTAGTCAATGCCCGCCCGTGTGCCATCGCTCCATTCCACCTGACTGAATTTTTGGAACGCACAACAACTCCGTAAAATGGCTGTCTGGATGGTAGTGCCCCATGCCTCGTCTCAGTGTTCGTGTCCTTGTTCGTGTCCGTGTCCGTGTCCGTGCCTTTGCCTGTAATAGTATTTGTTTGGAAAAACATCGGCACTGTGTGCTTTCGGGTCATGCCCTAGGACGAGGACCTTTTACTGCACACACATACACACACACACATATATACACACATGGCTGGGCCCAGTCCCAGTCCAATCGAAAAGCCAAAGTCCGGATGCAGCCAACTCTCGTTCAACTCATTCGGCTGGACGTTTATGTGTCGATTCCGGCAGTCGAGATTGTTCAGCTCAGTTTGGCCTGTTGTTATGCTGTACTGTGGGACTGTTGGACTGCTGGACTGTTGGACTATGCGGAATTTGTTAGCCATTTTACGTGTGCCATTGTACGCCCAATAAATTCAACCAAATTAAACAAAACTTGCGCTGCAGCTGCTGACTGACTTACATGGACGACATTTGTAGGCGATCTCGACGATTTTCCGGCGCTTGGGGCAGGGGTCGCTGCTGATTGCATTGGAGCTGGCCGTGCTGCTGTGATAGCTGCTGGTGCCGGACGAGTCGCCCACTCCGCTGGCGCCCAGTCCGTAGAACTGCGGGGAGCCGTGGAACTTGCAGTGCTTCTTCTTCTGGCAGGCTTCCACAACCGTCTGCAGCAGTGAATACTGTAAGCGGAGAACAAAGGTGGGTGAGAACAGAACGAAAAATCAGTTGCAATTTAGTTTTCCAATTTTATTTCCTCCGTTATTTATTTTTCATTCGTTTATTTTGCTCTCCTTTTTTACTTGTCGTACTTGTCGCACTGGTGTGCAAACAGAAAGAGCTGAAAAGTGAACGAGTCCAGGAATTGGCCGGAAATTGTAAACTTTTACAAATTGAAATAAAATATTTGCATTAAACATGTAATTGAAGTGTTTCCACTTGTGTTTGACTTTTTCGCTCTCTAAATATATTATGATTTTAAGATTGAAGTCGATAAGGGGCGGTGCCATCGATGGAAAAGTGCAATCAGCTGATGCAATGTATGTAAAGTTCCCTTCCCATTACAGACTGTAAGCGAGTTGCTCTACTTTCAATGAATAGCCCAGGCACTATATGGACCTTCATTATGTTTGACACCACACTAGATTGAAGATACTGAAACACGGTTGATCCATTTGTTATGACCATTATGTGCAAACAAGTTGTTGTCCATCATCTGCATGGCATCTATTCAATCAACAGCTGCATTGTCTCCTGACTATTAGCAATTTTTTCATCGTTCTATTTAGCGTTTCAGCCAGCTGACAGGCATGTCCAGTGTCAGGCCAGCACAAAAAAATCGCCACGTCTAGCTGCGTATAGCGCACAACTGGTGCCTGGTAATCCGTAGCGTGAATGTAAACTGTTTATTTTGAAGTTATTTTTCACTATCTTGTGTTGACAGCGCCGAGAGGATGATGAGCATGGGCGGACAGGCGGACAGGCGGACAGACGGCCAGGCAGACGGATGGATGGAGAGGCGAATAGATGGGCCCTACAACGGCAGACTGACAGCAGGTTTAGATTTGCTTGGCAGCCTCAGTCGCTGGGCGAGTCGTCACAAAATTTAATAACAACGACAGCGACAGTGACAACACCCTGAGGACCGGATGTGACAGAGAGTGAGCGAGGGAGAGATACTAAAACAGCGAACGATGAACAACAAAAACAGCTCTTTGAACAATGGCTGGAAAATGGAGACAAAAACGATGCGAGAAATTATTTGCTGTGGTAGCCATTTTTAGCGCCATGTTGGCGCTGCTGCTGCTGCTGCTGCTGCTGAGGCTGCTGAGGCTGCTGCTGCTGCTGCTGCTGATCAAAAAGTTTTGGGCTTGCTGGGTCGACCCGGCCCAGCCTAATGATGCCCCATGGGACGTGAAGGCATCTTGGCCAGCACAGCGGGCTGGCCGACAGGCCAGACAGCGCATTGACTTTGCCTGACACAAAGGCAACTTTTGGCCTTCGTCAATGTTTTTCGTAGCATTTCTCAGCGGTTCGTCTGCTACTCATTTCGTTGCTCCCACTGTCAGATGTAACAGAAGAACATTAAAAACGGAATCAAATGAAATGAAATGAAATGAAATGAATCCAACTGTCTGTCTCGTATTGTTTTCTATGTTGTTGAGTTTGCTTGAAATTTAAATTCATTTTGGGTTCAAAGGATGCCTTCAATTATTGGAGAAGCCAACTGAATTGCTTAATGAATTGGAAGCGTTATTCGGAATGTGGACAAACGAATTTCCTTATCCCGTTTCTGCTTAAAAAGAAGAAAGCAAGTGGAATTTAAAACGGCATTCAGTTAACTGTTCAACGTTAGCTAAATGAATTTCAACATGGCGATGAATTCCGCCTTCTGAACGACTCAAGTACTCTCAGCTCGATGATATTCTTTGTAATTCTATCTCAATTGCAGTTATACTTTTTTTCATACATTTTAGATTCAAGTGCTTACAATTTAGCTCACTTAAGAAACCATTCTCCGTTTTTTATAGACAAGTGAAACTTGCCTTCGAAGGCCCTTCAATTGTTGCCCTGTTTGGAATTAACTTCTCTTGCTAAGGTCTGTCTCTGGCTTTGTCGGCACTTACCTGAAGAGCATTTGGCCACATGCAGTTCTCGGAAGAGCTCTCGCTCTTTTGAGCATCGTCTGCCGATGACTCGGTAATCGGTCCATTCGGTCCGCTAGTGCTACTTGGAGCTTCCATAGCAATGGCGTAGCCGTTGCTTACGTAGCGATTCGCGGGCACCTTTTGTGTGGTGGATCCGAAGATGGAGCCACGCAGCAAGTGCTTGGCCTTGCCACGTATTTCGGGCTTCACGGTGCCAGTGACGGGGCACAGCTCCTCAATGCTGTAGCCATCTGAACAAGGGGAGGTTGAATAAAGCACGAAATGGCAGACGTGTTAAGAATAAATGACCCGGGGATGGCCCACCGGAGAGAGGCCCCCAGGCAAGCAGACAGAGAGCAAGCGCAACACTTACCTTTCGCCACAAACTTGTTGTACTGTGCAAATTCAATTGAAATGCTGGTGCCGCGCGGGCACGCAATTACCACCTGATCCGTATCACAGGCCGCCTTCTGATATGTGCGCAGTGTGGCCGATAAAAGAGCTGTTGGCGATACGTGGCGTGCGGAGCGGGCGGTTGTTAAACAGCGAAGTTTCCATTGCCATTAAGCGGGTCACATGAAAAGCAGGAGATGAAAAATAGCATGAAAATAATTGATTGCGCCTATAATTAATTAAAATTTAATTAATCTATTATACACATATCGCACTACTCTGCCAGCACTGATAAAGCTATTCAATTAAATGAAGTCAACTCGCTTTAAACTGATCGCAGAATGCAATTTATTATGAAATTCCACAAAGAGCGCGACCGCAGAGCTCTATACATATTAAATAGCAGACTAAATTAAAACAGACAGCGGAACTCGGCATTTTTCACGAGTTGCACGGGCAGCTAACTAGAGTCCATGCTGCGAAAAAACACCTGAGCTAACAGCACTCGGCCCTGGTGTCCTGACGCCTGCAAAGGAAAACAGCTCAAGCAGGAGACAGGAGCCGGGAGACAGGAGCCCGGAGCCTTCAAGTAGCTGAAGCAATGTTCTAGGCGTGGCTAGCGCTTGGCGTTAAAATGTGTTTCCGCACTTCAGGCGGGCGCCAAGTGCACATTTTTAGCGCTCTAGAATTCCTCTGCTTCCTCAAGGGAGCTGCATGCCAAATTATACGAAATTCTTGGTAAATATTTTGCTCGCTTCGCTTCGGTTGTTTATACTCTTGCCTAAAGCAACAACCTCATTTTAGATTTTAGATGAGCTACAATAAGTCTATATGTGTGGTCAGTAAACTGCTGCACATACATCAGTATATATGTACATGTATCTAATATAAAGCAACTTGATGTAGGTCATGTAAGTGGCGCTTAGCTTTCAATTAAATTGCTGCAATAAATCAATTTCCGACAATTTGCCATAATGTTTCAACTACCTAAATGAAATCGACAATTTATCAGCTGAGCAATTTAAATACCAAAACTTTAGTGTGTATAAATCAGTATTTATATATATATATATATATATATATATATATATATATATATATATGGTTAACGGGGGCGTTGTCTAGTTGGGTCTCGGACATGAAATATAATTTAGCCGTTACCGTTCATTGCTCGCTGGGGCATTTCGCCTCTAATGAGTTTGGGGCGCTGCGCGTGCGAATTGGTTTTGTTTTTGATGACTGCCCATGGCGGGGGCGTGACGACCAGCACGGGGAAGTGGGGATGCGAGCAAGACACTGAGATTGGGGTTATTGCAGTCCAATGCGAATAGCCGACCAACCAACTACTACCAACAGTCCGCTGTCGACTGTCCTCTGCCGACTGCCGACTGCCGACTGATTTATATTGCGAGCCATAAATTATATTTAAATGGCGCGTTCTCGCTTCTGGCAACATGAGCCGAGCCTACCGCAGCTTGTAATTATTTCTAGATAGAGTATATAGTGTCTACACATATATATATATATATATATATATATATGTAATAAATACGCTGGCTGGCCCTTGACCAAATCGCCAAATGGCAGCGCACCGCCCCGTGACAATAAATTTCGTGTCCACAGCTTGACCGCCCCATCGCCTATCGCACGGATGCAAGTGGGCCACGTTAGTGGGCCAGTTAGATAATGCCGTTTAGTGGAATAGAGAGCTCTTCTCGGTTTAGCTCTCCTAATCTTTGCCATGTGCACAAAATTTAATAATTTTTAGATTATTCACATGCGCATTGCCATTGGAATCGCCGGCAGCACTTGCTGTTCATATCTCTGATATTGTACACTTGTGCCAGCTGGCGGTACATTAATTTAATTGTTATGGCTTTACAGCTGGTGTTCTGCTCTAGGGGGAACTTTCAAACGGTTCCGCTAGTCCTTGCCTCAATGTGTTGGCCGTTGCCGGTCGGAAGCGAAAGTCTCTGAAGTTTTTATTGGTGCCATTTGACTTCGGCAATCGAATCACTTTGGCATGGAGCGAATCCAAAAAGAAAAAAAAAAATGAAGCAGAATGAAAAAGCTTCCTTTTGCGCTCGGCCATAAAATTCAGCCTCTCCCCCTTCGAAATACCATGACCAGCAGTGTTGAAAACTTTACCTTTTAAAGTGAAAGTATTTTCAGCGGGTTGCTCAAATTGAAAATACAATAATAAAAAAGCGAGAGTCCTTTTGACCTTGCGGTACGCCCCCGGAACAGTCATTCAATACATATGTATATATATTTTATATATAATGTATATTGTATACTCTGGTCTCCATTTGCAGACCAGTAGTTGCTGGATGATGGCGCATTTTTTGGGGAAACTTTTTATTTGATTCGAAATTGAAAGCGCTCCAGACAGATGCCGGTAGCTGCTGCGCTTAAGGCCCGCCCGACGTTTTACGAGCCGCCCGGACGGAGTGAAGTGACGGAAAACTGTCGGCCATGAAAAGTGTGCTCCAAGCCTCGAGAACATTACTTTCCCAACTTGGTGGAGTAGACATGTGTGTGCGAGTGTGTCACGCATGTGTGTGGCTGTGCGCCTGTTTTCCGCATCTGAACCGCAACGTTTTACAAACATATGAATAATTTAAATATATATGTATGCATATATGTAAATGTATATATGGTGAACCCTCTCAGTGCGGCTCAGCAGTACAATCCTGCTTGCCTCAAAGAAGATAAAGATTGAATATTTATATACGTGTTTTATATATGTATGAGATTATGTCAGCACATCGAATCAAATGTATTATGCAGTATTCTTAAAGCAAATGCAGCCACCAGCCAGCAGAAGCAAGTAGTTCAAGCATTGTCTTTGACATTTTTTTCAAGCTATTATGGGGGCAAGAAAATAATCTATGCTTGGTTTTAAATGTGCTTCATCGACTAATGTATTATTGACAGAGCCAACTGGGTCGTCAACCGGTTGGCCTACATACGACATCAAACGAAAAATGGAAAAAATAAGAGTAAATAGTTTAGGTCTCTTGTGACTAATGATGCTAGGCCCAAGCTACTTTTTATACTATGGACATACTTTACCCTTGTCCCCAAAAGGGTTACAAAAAAATTTAAAATAGAAACTGCAAGAAGAAAATACTACTGTGACTTATAGAGAATTATATACGCACACATATAATCGAGTAAAAAGGAGAGAATTCATTTTGATTTATAGTGGCTTATATACATACATATACATATTTATACGTATTCGAGTGAATCTGCATCAGTAAATACTATTTTATAAGTGTATTCAGTTGATTGACTCGAACGTTTTCTCATATTTATTGAGTTGAGCTGTTGAATTGAAAATTTGCTCCTTTAGAGACATTTCGCCTTCTGCGCTAGTGGAACAAATGATTGCTCAGTAATTCGCAAAGCATATTTACTATGCAATGATTGATTCTGCTTCACATTTCTGAAATTTAGTGATCCAGCCTGGCTTGAGATGAGATATATGTTTGCTCACACGAGGACCTTATCGACTCCATGTGCAGCGCCTTGCACAATTCGTTTCACATTCGAAAATTTCCAAATATCCGTGGAGCTGCTACTTGTGCGACGTCAGCCAACAGGCATCAGCATCTGGCATCTGATATCAGGCATCAGGCGTCAGCATCAGCCGTCAGGCATGCTGCTAGCTCCACTTTAGTTGTCTCGTCTATTTGCTGTAAGCTGCTGAAATCCATTCACCCTGGACTAGCAGTGTCAACAGCCAAGTCGCTGCTTTGGGACAGCCAAAGCGCGATTGAATGGTCTCGAAGCCGATGGGATTCGATGCAGAGCAAAAAAAAAGAAAAAGAGGAGAAAAAGCAAGCAACTGTCATCGGGAGTTGTCGAGTCAATGGGGCAGAAGAAATTGATTTGTTTTGATTTATTCCCATGTACTTGGAAGCATCAGCTTCCACCAGGGTTCCAGATCTAGCTCTGGCTCTGGCTCTTGCTCTGACTCGGGCACGAGCTCGACTCGGGCTCGGGCTCATCTGTCCGGGCAACGCAGTAGCTGGCTTTAACGCTGCCCTTGTCCTGTTTGTCTCCTTCTGATGCTCATGCAAAACTCGTCTTGGGACTGTGTCTAGTTCGCCCTGCTCGCTGCGAGAGCGTCTGAGCTTGTAACTTCTATATTTTATTGTCCCATTTGACTTGCTTATTAAATGGGAATGTGCCACTGCCACCGCTGTCAAACAAAGCCCGGGGGCAGCGTTGGGATGGCGACATTCTTGTCGTGCGGTCCCGAACCAATAAAACTTGATATGTATCTGGTATAGCTGGCGCCCAGTCAGTTCTGTGTGCTGAACAAATAAATCTAATTAAATGAAATTTAATATCGCTCATTCATATTTGGAGGGGCCAAATAATGTCGATTGCGCAGCAGTTTCGGGCCATCAGAGCCTAAATGAGCCCAATAACAAAATCTATCCGGAAGAGTATTAAATCTTAAATAGCCAAAATATGATCCCCAAATCCTAATAATAATGAAATGATTTTCACTTTCTGCTCCCCAGTGCAATTGTTGACTGTGGAATTACATCAGGTCCAAGTCTGATGCTAGTTAATTCACAGATCAGCGGAAATAAGTTGTTCATTAAAAATGTGAGCAGCAGCACAAGGAGAACAGACGTAATGAAGAAAACAGACAAACGTGAAAGGGAGTAAGGTAAATTGTAAAATGTAGACATCATATTTTCTCTTTTTCGCTGACGCTGGCATTGTTTTCGGCCCTGGTTTTGGTTTGGGGTTTGGGGTTCGAGTTTGGTTTTGTAGTGGACCCCAGTCTAATCCTGAGGAAACAAAAGTTTATGACATTTTACGAGCTTTTTTAATACTTTGTGAAAAGTTTGCACATCTCCATCCGTCCGCCGCTTATCCATCTTTAAGCTCTGCAGCTCGCCGGAAACAAAAACAGAATTTATGAACCTGTTTTGTCATATATGGATGGCTGAGCGGCTGAAAGCCGGGCCATGTGCAGCTGGACAGCATGGCAGCCATGAGGACAAGCACATACACATACATATACATATACATATACATATACACTGATGCATACATATATAAATATATATGAATATATGAATGTGTGTAGTACGTATTTAACTCACTTTAGACATTCTTGTCAACCCCGAATACAACAGATTGCACTCACGGAATGAACAGAACGCGTGCTTTGTGGACGCTGTGCGTCAAGTTATAAAGTAAATTTATATAAAAAACATTTTTTCTTTTCATTTTTTTTCGACACAGCGACAAGTGATGTGCCGTGGAGCTGTGCGTGGGTAAGGGAGGGGGGTTTCCAAAATTTCCCGGGACAGACATTACTTTGCGTAATTGAGAGCATAAATTTGATGAGCTCGCGCTGAGAGTTTTGCTTTATCTGATGAGCAATGAAATATTTGCTCATACGACGCATTCGTATGCACATTAGATAAAGCCGGGCGCCGGGACGAGCATAGAATTACCTTCGTAGAGCCGGCACTTTTAAGTCCGCAAATATGTAAGACAGCCGAAATCTAGAGGATATACTCTACATACAGTATATACACGCTAGCGAGAATTTACATTCAGCTGGCATGTGCTTAGCCAGTATGTAAATGAATAGATTTAAGGACCTTAGGGAAACGACAGTTATATTTGTGGCGTGCAGGAGAAGCGAGCACTAAGCAGGACAGCAAATGGCGACATGTTTTCCTTATCCCCAGAGTTGGTTCGCATTTGTGAAATTTTATTAACATACTTAACAGCATAGATATATTTGTATGTATATGTGTGTGTATTTGTGCGGATGTGGGCGTGTAATGAGATGCTATTTGCTGTTCTAATTCAGCATTTCGCTCACGTTATCCTCATCCAATTTACTTGTTGTATCAATGATAAGTGGGCAAATCGCGTAAGGATACTTAATTAACATATGATTTGATTTGAGTGGAGCTTTTGGCTCTGGCCAGATGTCGCTTACCCAGGGGATCGATGCGAAATATGATTTCGCCTTCGGCGCTGGCCGCACTCAGGGCGCACAGAAAGGATAGCATTAAACACTTGGCCTGCATATAATCCATTATCCTGCGAGCTGAGCCTGGGCTCCAGGTGCCGCCGGCTGGCTGGGCTTGGCTTTGGCTGCTATGCGACGGGAGTTAACCGGCTCCCACTTCCGGCATCACACACGCTCCTGCCCCTTGGCCAGGCTGCACACACACGAACTGTCGCACTGCTGATAGTGGAGCGCTGCACGTATCGAACTTTGCATGGACTTTTCCCAGCGGTTGTGCCAATCGGCAGTTGCACAAAATTTGTTTTATTGATTTTCTGTTTGTTGTTTTTCGTTTTTCTTCTCTTCTCTTCTTTTTTTTTTTTTGTATTTTTATTTCTTTCACCGTTTTGCACTGGGGGACATTTGAATTCGATTTGCCTTGCCGTCGGCTTTATCCTGTTTGCTGCTCTGCTTCTTCTTCACTGCAGAGGGGTTTCGTTTGGATGCGTCCTTTCGTCTGATTTGTTGGCACTTTGTTTTCACATTTGTTGCTTGCGTTGCAGGAAGTGCGCGAATTTCACAATTTTTCAGCTACTGCTGATGCTGCTGCTGCTGCTGCTGTTGGGCCACAAAAAACGATTTCGCATTTATTATCAATTCAGAACGTGAAGCGCTCGCAGCCCGCGAATGTAGATCAATAAAATACACACAGAGCCCAGCCAGCGCGTTCGATTGCCATGTGTGTAATCAAATTGAATGAGCTGAACCACTCAACCACCCGAAAAACCACTGCCAGCGGCAACGATCCTGCAGGGGAATACGTTGTTGTTGCCACTTTCTCCAATGACAACACGATATGACCACGCCCACGCAATACAATGCTGCACATCAAAATGTGACAGCGTCACTGTTAATGTCTGCGTGTGTGTATGTGGTTGTGTGTGTCTCGTTTATACATATGCAAATCTGTGTCAACAATGAAAAAAATCGAATCGTCAATTGTCACGCGGCTGCTGGCGGCGTCAACTGCACTTTTTGCACATTAAATTTTCATTTGGTTTCTTTGGGGCTCACAATTTGCCAGGGGGCCACTTCCGTGAAACAAAAGCCACATTGATTGCTTGCACAAGCACCACCCCCACCCCCCGCGAGCAGCCAGTGACAGAGACAAGCAGCCGGCAACCATATGCCAATCGCTGTGACATTAACGGAGCGCTTAAAAACAGTTATCCGCGCGCTCTGCAATTACAAAAGGCCCCTTGGCCAGAGTAATCCGATTGCTCTCCACGTGGCCTGCGTACGTCCATCTGGCATATCATTTGTGGTGCATCCATCAAGCCGCACGTCCGCCTCCTTCGATTGCTGGCAATTGTGCTGCAGCGGAGCTTTAATTAAAATAGTTTCACATACATAGATGCGAACAGCAGAGATAACATTTGCCCAGAGCCATCACAATTCGTTGACTTGATCGCAGTATTTAAAGTTGAATCCAAATTTGAATTTGGCTTAATTTCATTTGGATGCTCCTAATGCAGTGCTTAATAAATGTCTGTCATGTGTGTCAAGTGGTTGGCAAGTGCTCGCAGCTGCTTCACCCCCTAACGCCTTCTGCCAAGTACTTGCAATTAAAATAGTCATACACACTCACACAGACTAACACTCACACACAGACACGCTCACTCATAGAGAAGTTGATAAACAAATTCTGTCAAGTGTCGCTTGCTTTTCATTTAGCAACTGTATCACAAGGACACAACAAATTGTAAACTTCATCAATTTTGAACAATCCTAAAAGGGTTTCTAATAACAACACGCACACAGACACACACACATGTCATATACACTCATTAGTGAAGGACATTTAGTTGACGGCATGACAGCTTTGCCGGCAGGCCGTAGCAATTATGGTTCGGACTCGTCTGCAGCTATGGCAACTGACAAAGTGTTGGCAGCTTTATTGCCCGGGTCCAAATCAGAATCCTTGACTGGCAATGGATGAGTCGATGGGCAGCAACTGTTTTTGGCATTCGTTAAGTATTCAGTGATTCAATTATCATATTTAGACAGTAGCCAAGACGAATGTAGCAGTCGCTGGGGCACATGGGGCAGCAGTTGGAGCTAGCTGCGCACTCGACGTTTGATTAATGATGCGAGCCAAAGCCAAAGTTTTTCTGCTCTACTTCAAAGTTGCTGCGCGTGCCAGAGAGTGTATGCACGTGTGTGTGTGTGTGTGTGGGTGTGTGTGTGTGTGCGTGTGCGTGTGCGTGGGCGTCTGTCTAAACTGCACACGGGCACAGTCGCATTACACATGTACATGTATCTGTGTCACAATTTTTCCACTGTCATTTAGCACAATAGGAAATGAGGCCGTGGCGGGATTGTGGTCCGTGGCCCAGTGGCGCGTCCGTGTGGTCGTTGAAATGGCTTTATTTCAGCCAAAACGGGCGACAAAATTGAAATAAAGCGACGTAAACGACGCAAAACTAACACACACACACACAGTGAGAGTGAGAGGGAGAGAGACTGGGACATGTCACGTGGGAGTCGAATCGCTAACCAGACTGGGACCTAGGCGCACCGGCTTAACGCTTGCTAATCATGGCCAAGTGCGGAAGCTGGCAATTTTTGGTTAATCTCGCATATTTGAGCTAAGTGTGGGTGGCGCCTGCTCCTGGTTGTTGGTGCTGGTTGGTGGTTGCTGGCTGGCTGAAACTCCCTGTGTGCATTTTAGCTGCTCCGCCTCGTTGAGTTTTAAGCAGTCTTTTTTTTAAATATTTATTTTATTATATTTTTTTTTTTTTCTATTTTAATGCTCATTCAAATTTTTTTCAGCTGGCCGCAAAAATGCGAAAACACGCGCACTCAAAGGAATAGCTCACATTTGGCCACGTTAAAAGCACGTGCAAATTTTGGCTTTTGCCACGAGGATGCGCACGCCACGCCCACCGCCTACCGCCAACCGCCTGCCCCTATTACTGCGGGCGACGTAACGACGAGACGTAGCTGAAGACAAGCACGGAATAAGGCAGCTCTGGCCCAGTAGCAGTTGCACAATTCACGCGCGTAACACGTCTGTTGAGTTTGGCTGTCGGCGAAGAACTGACAACGGCATCGGCATCGGCATCGTGGCCGCATCGGCCTCGCCATGCAGAATCCCCGAAGCCCGACGAGCAGCTTCGTTGCCGACAGCGACAGGAGCCGAACGACGGCCACAGGGAAAATCTCTCTTTGAGGCAGGTCGCGATGCCGAAGACAACTTGCACAGCATGCAAAGAGAGTCTGGGGCACTAGACTCTGACGATGGTCATGGTGAGTGCGACTGACGAACTACCATATCTGGGTCAGTGTGCCCTTACTCACACTCACACACACACACACAGAGAACTACAGCACAGCTAGTGTGTTTGCCAAGAGCCGCGCCGCCAAGAATTTTTGGTCTGCGAGCGCCGCATTTAATCGAATGTAACGTTTACAGTCAACTTAACACATTGATTTAGCCTATCGTAGGTAAATTAGTGGCCAACTGCCAGGCGGCTGCTCTCTAAATCGTTTTGCACCGATGTATGTGTGAGCATCAGTGGGTGGATGTGTGTGGGTTAGGCTACGGCTGTGTTATGGTTGTGCGTGCGGCTAGGTGATTATGCCTGCCGCTCAGATTGGGCTCATAATTCGCTGCGGAATCGTTTTTATCACTTGCACCAGAGACACAGACACACACACACACTTATGTGTATATGATATGTATATAATGTGTGTGTATGTGCGTATGTATCTGTGCATGCCGTGTGCGTGCAGCTTTTGATTGAACAAGGAAACGTCAAGGCGAGACACAACGACTTGTTGCTGGCGCTTATATCATGCGAAGGTGAAGGCAATGGATATATCTATATCCACCCAAATATAAACCATACCTGTATGTATGTGTAAGTGCACTCATACAGACTTAAAAGGCTTTAAAAGTATTATGCTGAGCATTAGGCATTGAAAAGATGAGGCTTAAAGCCTTAGCATAAAAGAGGGTTTTCGCTGTGAATAAGCATTAAATTTACTACAAATATATATATATATACATATGTACATGTATCAAGATTGCTCAATTTCTCTCCCTCTCGTGATGCAAATAATTGTTATGTATATTATCTTCTATATAATATTACAAGCATATTTTGAATATTTTTTATTTACTGCACAAATCTATTCCATGACACTGATAACTATGGTTAAAGTAGCTTATTTATTTTCCGAATCAAAAGAGCTTTTGGTATTCATCATGGCCTAAACACCTTCTCTTATTTGCCAATCTTTCCTCCCTGCGCTTTTCATCTGCTCTGCTCTTTCAGGCTTGCATATTTAAATACTAATATTAAGTGCAAGTTTGTTTTGCCATTTAGCCAATGTTAGACAAATCTTTTATTTGGCGATAAAAGAGATTTGCTTAATGCAGCTGCAGGCCAAAGGCAACTGCAAGTGCAACTGCAGCAGAGCAAATAATTGCAAACAAATAGGTGTTTGGTTCATACTATTTGTTGTTTTTAGTGCATATATAAATAGGCATAAGAGAGTGTGTGTCTGTATGTGTGTGCACATATAGCCAAACACCTGACTAATTTATTGGGTCAACAAACATTGGCCACATTAACAATGTTACACTTTCTGTTTGCCTTTGTGGCTCTGCTACCAATGAAATATTCACGTTTGCTGCTCAAATATCAAATATTAAATTATGCATAAAAATATATTTAGCATTGAGTAAATATAGTTAGCTGCAGAGATATTTAAAGAGTGGCAACAGTCACAGAGTGCGTTTTGTTTTTTGAGTTTGGCTACGCTTGAAATGAAAATGTGAAAGGGAAATGAAAATGAAAAGGAAAATGAAAACGCAGTTGAATAAAGCGTGCACATTTTATAATATTTTGTTTTGATGGATCGCTCGCCATGCAACGCAGCAGACCGCCATATACTACGTCCTTTGTTCGTGCTCTCTGTGCTGCCAGCTCTTTTGACAGCCATTTCGTGTCCCCTAGATAAATGCAGAGCCAACAGCAGCAGCAGGAGCAGATGCAGGAGTCGTAGCAGCAGCAGGAGTCGCAGCAGCGACAACATATTAACACAACTTTTGTTGGGACTGTCGTTGCTCGAATAAAGCAACCTCTCCCGGAAGAATGCTGTGAAATTTGATGTTTTAAGTATGCTCAATATATTAGAAAAGTCACTTTTACAGACTACAATTTATGTTGGAGAGCAGAAAAATAGATTGCAATAAGTCCCATCGGCAGCAGTCCACAATAGTTGAGTAGTGAGAACCATATAGCTTTTGATTGCAAGCTCCCTTTCGATGCAAAAAAATGGACTTGTTCAAATAGTCTATAAGTAGATGCAGCCAGATTCATTTGTTCCCTTTGCATGAGAATTCGAGCTTTGCTCACCTTCTAGATTCTCAGGAATTCCATTTCATTTTCCGCAATTTTTTTTTTTTTTTTTTTTTTTTGCCTCTGCTTCTCTTTCATTATGAAGTTTTTCTCTTTTCTGTTACCCTCATTTTCTTTTTCATTTTTCTTAATTCTCTTTCTTTCGTTTTTTTTTTTTTTTTATTTATTCTTATTTTTAATTTATCTATTTATTCTAATTTATTGTCCTAATTTTTTTAGTTTTATCTTTTTCTTTCTCTTTCTTATTCATTCTACCTCTCTCTCTCTCTCTCTACAACTCTCTCTACTGACTCTCTCTCTCTCTCTCTCCTTCTTTGTTTATCTATCTCTTTATTTCTTCTTATCCATTTTTCTCCCTCTCTCTCTCCTTCTCCCTTTCCCTGACCCTCCCTCTCTCTCTCTCTCTCTCTCTCTCTCTCTGCACTCTCTTTCACAGTCTTCACTCACTGTAAGTTTCGTTCTTTTTCTCTGTATATCTCCGCCTGTTTATAATGTGTCCTGTTCATAATAAAAGCATATATCATTTTCTTTCCCATTGTTGAAGCAGACAAAAGAAACGCACATCAATTTCAACTAAAATTTGAATGGGACTCTAAAGTACTGTCTAGACTCCCTAATCTGCGTCCTCGGCGATTCGCACAGCTCAGTTAACTCCACTGAACTCAACTGAACTGAGCACGTAATATCCCTACGTATAAGAGGGAGAACATATCTGCTATAAGATCTAATAATATATAACCCAGATTCTGCAGGCGAAATGCTTAATATTGGAAGTTTCATATTCTGCGGAATACATTATAATTCACCATCGACCTAAGGCATGCCATGGCAGGCTGTCTGGCTTGAAAATATTGTTAATTTTCAACACGTGCTGCCCGAATAGACTGTGTGTGGGGCCTCGCACATTAACATTCGAGTGGCAGAGGCTAACAGTTGACCGAGAAGCGCCATGGGAAATGCGCCATTCGCCATGGGCGGGCAGCTGAAATCGGCTACAGCTAAAATCGCTTTGGAATGCGCTGCGGTCGGCCGCAAATGCGACGGAGCTTCGTATCTGGCAGGCAGCGACTGCCACGCATATTTGAGCCCTTGCAGGTGTATGCCAGTGAGTTGGCTGTCTAATTCTGATTATCTGAATGATGCACAGCCAACGGCTGGCACTCGAAATGCTCGCTGCCTGTCATAACAGCGCAATCCAGGCAACCACATCATCTGCCCTTGTTGCTCGCTTAGCCGCAGGTCGCATCTAATTAAGGCCGAAAATTGCTCTTCCTTCGTGTATTTCAACAGCAGCTGGAAATTTACATACTACTAGGAATATCATCAATTTTGCAATATATCAATAGAGGGAATGTATCAATTGAATAGGGAAACCTATGCAGTACAGTGTTAAAAGAGAGCGCATAAAAATAATAAAACAATTTGTAGTGCTGAATAAGTTACAAACAATTCGTATTACCAATCATAGAATCCACTCCACATCCAAAACAACATTAACAGAATCTACTGCTTGTCCCAAGAATAACAGAGCTGTTAATGCTCGTGTGGAGTATCTGTCGTTGAGTGTGGAGTACGCTCTACAAATTGGTTGTTGAACTGAATAACATAAGTTATACACTTGCACCAGCTTGTGTACAATAGTGGGAAGAGATTGTATTTTTTAATTTTGTTACATTTTACAGCACTTGGCTAACAACTTATATTCATATAACATATAACACATAAAAAATATATATAACATATAACATTAAAAGGTATATAAAATAAGTTGTGTGTCCTTGCTAAATGTTCTACGCGGCAATTGTTATACTCCATATAACGCAGTGGCATATGTATGCTATTGTGTCAGTAGGGGTTGGAGGACATGCTAACATAGTACAAAACTATGACATTGACATGTAGTGTTCTACTGTGGTAGCTAAGTGCTCTACCTGCGAACTGGAATACATTCTGAGAGGAAATGAAAAATGTGTGTTAGAGTATTTATAGAGGTTGATTGCCGTGCTATCATAATACGAAAGTTTGCTACGTAAACAAATAATAGACGGCCATTGCTAAGTGTTCTACTGTATGCTGTTATACTGTGTGTAGTTATGACAACTCGAAGATTAGGTCATTATGACAAATATTGAGTTTTGTTATACGTTTCACAACTGTTATAAGAGTTCTAAATTAATGTTATATAAACTAAAGCCATAACATATGTATATCGTCATTAGTTTCTTTCACAACCAATGGAAGTTGTAAACTCTTATATTTATAGTCAATTCTTTATGCTGCACTACAGTAGAATTCAGTTCGGTTTCAAGCAGTATATAAATGTTCCAAAACTTAAGCAACCATTTGCTTTTCAGGACCCAAAATTTTAAAAGTGGATTATAAAGTATTCTTAATTATATCTTAAACTCTGCCTTAAACTCTGAAAATGTCGAAACTTAACTTATTTGCGCAACATCGTTGTGATGGGGGAATTATGGTTAAGATTTATTGTTGCAGTTACTCAGTGACTTATTTACCTACATACGAACTGTTAGGGCAGACCACCTCGGGGATAACGCCCATGAAGTGAAGCATCCATCCACACTGTTTTTGGCTCTTCGACAACTCCTGAGCTCGAGAAGTTATTATTGCAGCGAGGCGGAAAATTGCTTCTTTCTCCGCGCGCGAAATGTTTAC